ACTGTATCCTCCTGAACTGACACTCCCAGACCCCATGTCTCCACCAGCCTGAGCACCATCCCATTGAACTGTGTCAGCCTGATGCAACAACACCTCTCCTCCACCCACCAACACTGCCACTTCCAACCTCCCAGACTCTGCTCAACATCCCCCTTCCTCCTACCACCAGCACAACCGGATAGCCTCTAAACCCAAAGCAACACTCTACTCCACCAGCTGAGTTCATTCCCTTCCCCTCAAGCCTCCCCACCCCCACACACATCCCCCACTGGAAGTGAACCCAGACCCTCACTGACCCGACAACACCTTGACACTTTTATCTGTTGGGCTTGTCACTGCCACACCTACTTCTCTGTCACAGAACTCGACACCCTGATCTTTCCCACCCCCACTTCCACCCTAGCACCCCCAAACTCCAACCCGTTTACCGGCCTGCCCTACTTATTCCTTCACTTCTTGGGTATCCTACCCTCTTGGCACTCTCCCCACCTGGTATGCTATTGACCTTACCCACAGAGCATCCTAAAGCCGCACTCACCTTACATATTTATACTTTCACAGGAGCTACCAAAATGTCTAGCTATGCTGCTGGACATTTACATCATAGAACCTTGCTCATTATCTGCTGCAAAATGAGACATGGCTTCTATGATCAACTTCACTGATGGATTCATGGATTTCTGGACAGGCTGGAACTGGATATCCCCATCCAAGAATCAACTTGGAAAACATCTAAAGGTAAATAGATAGTTTTTAATTCAATCATAGTCGAAAATAGGTTTACTCAACCTTGAGGGAATATCTGGGCCATTGTGTTAAACGCTATGAGGATTTTTAAAAAGTGAACAGATAGAGGAGCTAACAACCCTTAACAAAGAAGGAGTCATATTGGCCCAGATCTTCTGATCAATATCAGATTTGCTCTTAGCAATTCTGGTTGAAGAATTACTTACTTTACTCTGATTTTTCTGGCAAAAACATACGGTGGAGGATCTTGCAAAACTAACCCAGTGCAGGAAACCCGGAGATATCAGCGAATGGAATCTGTACAGGAGCCACCCTTGTCTTTCATGGCACTAGCTGTCATAGTCTGCAAAGTAAAAGTTTCTCAGTGCATTTGGGTATGTGTGTGAATGCGTATCTGCACAAGTAGACTCGGTAAAGAGGTACAGAACTTGGATGGGTGAGGTAAGTTGGTACAGCTGAGCAGAAGAGCAGCTAGGTAAGATGGCATCTGGGTTGGCATAAAGATACGGTCAGGTTGGGTTGTTGAAATCAGGATACAGTGACAGGTGATGATTCATTAGCAGATTACTGGGAGTCAGGAAGGTTAGTTTTAAAGTAACCAGGTAATTGGAATGAAATTTTCTGTACTGGGAAAATATTCGGGTAAGTCATTGTCAAAACTGTCTGAATTCTCCTCTGAAGCAATGCGGGAGCAGAGGACCTGCCCATCAGAAGTTCAAAGTTCCTGGGAACTTTCCATGCAGTCAGTGTATCAGGACTTTTCTGGTGTCCCAACATGTATCGTGGGATATAGATTTGGTCTCCAAGAGTGGAAGATGTAGGTGTGTTAGCAGCCAACTAGTGAAGGTTGCAAGTGGGGCCAGGAGATTGCAATAAGGTACAAAAACAAGGTTATATGCTGTGAAGGGGATAACAAAATGCCATTGCTCTTCTTCTGGTTTCCAGTGCATGTTCTACTCCTCATTTCACTACGGTGGGCTATTTACTTCTAGTATCTTCTTTTGAATTCTTTGAATTCAGTGCTGGGTGTTGTTCCTATACTGCTATTTGCGGATTTAACCTCATTTCAATACTGAGTCATCAGCAACATTTGAGCCTATGTTTTGCAGATTTTTAAAATAAAAACAAATTTCCAAAAATACATCTGCAGCAGAATAGTTTGGTTTGGGGTGGAGAGGAGTCATATTGCCATTTGGTATCTGATATAACACTTCAACTGAATGGTCCACCCTTGGTTATTTGGCAGACCTAACAAGAATTGTTTGGTCAGTATTTATACTTAAAAGAACTAACTTACTGTTGATTAGTTATCTTATGCATATGATTTTGAACATTTTCTCTAAATCCTTTGCCTTTCTACCTCATTCTGAATTTCCAAAAAGCCAACCTTTCTAAACAGACCATTTGTCTCTCCTAACGCTTGCAGAGTGAGATTCTTTCTTCCCCCATGAACTGTCTTGGAATGTCATTCTCAAGGCGGCACAGGAGGAATGTGAGTGGCATTAACTGGATGCCTCCTTCAGCAAACTGGTGCAATTATTGTGCATTGAATGGTCTCTAGCCATGCTCCAAAATTTGACGAATTCTCTCTTTAATCTACTTTGCCTCCCCACTTCTATTTCCTCATTTAAGCCCACCTTAAAAGCCATTTTTTAAATGAAGCTTTCCATCACCCTTTCAAATATTTCCCTCTTTGGCTTCAAATGCTATACAAATTCAAGTTTTTTTGATGAAACATGGGACAACTTAGAGCTGTCAGCAACAGTACAGGCAGTTTGCTCATAATGCTTATAATTGTGAGCACTTTGGGAGAAGATACTCTCTTCTGAAATGACATCTTGAAAGAAGTAGTGATTCTGACATCTTGAAGGATTTGAGCAGCGATAGAGCCATTATTAATAGTTCTGAGGAAGTGTCACTGGACCCAAAACGTTAACTCTGATTTCGCTTCACAGATGCTGCCAGATCTGCTGAACTTTTCCAACAATTTCTGTTTTTGTTTCTGATTCCAGCATCTGCGGTTATTTCGGTTTTCATTATTAATAGTCGCTTGGTAACATGGAATTTGAGTATTGCTGAAAGAAGACATGTTTTGTTTAAAAGTGTTTGTTTTACATTCATCAGGACTATTCACAAGACTACCAATGTGATGGGAAACAGCAATTTTAGACTGTATGAGCAGAGGTACTCATTGGTTGGCAGTTAACTAGGCATGATGACTCTGATTGGTCAAAGCATTGTCTGAAAAATAAAGCAGAGAATAGTTGTTTAGGTGAAACAGACCAAGTGTGTATACACATTCCTTCTGTCTGTAAAGAACAGGGCCCTGTGTACATGTATAAAATTATTGTTAGACATCTTAATGCACTCCATCCTGCGCTCATTATTCACCTTTGAAATTAAGCAGTCATATGAGCTTCTTTCTCTTGCTAGTTGAGAAATCTGCCAGGGTGTATTGTGCGTTGCAAACAAACCTTCGCTGGGCAATATACACATTGGGATTTCTATAGTTTCACAAGCTATAAGATTGACCTAACTGACAACCTCATAAAGAGCGCAGAAGCCATTTGTCCACCATGCAAGCTTTATGCTAAAGTAATGCATATCAAAGCCATCCTGTGAAATAACACCAACTCTGATCATATAATTTCTCGCCGTATATTGTGCAAACTTATGAACGGGCCAATGGCTATCATTTTCAGTCCTGAAAAATGCTCAGTCTATCTCAGATTAACTGGTAAGGTATCTCAAAAAATTTGAGGAACAGGTGAAACCAGATGTTTCATTCTGCTACTAAACAGTAGTGTTCCCTATTAACAGGGTGTTGTTGTCAAGCCAGAAAGACGTTTTGGCTAACAACTGAATGCATTTAATGGTAAGGTCATGGGGAGTGTTGCCGAACAAAGAGAGCTTGGGGTGCAGGTTTATAGTTCATTGAAAGTAGAGTCGCAGGTAGACTGATGTGGATAGGGTGAATAGACAAGGTCTTTTCCTCAGGGTAGGGAAGTCCAAAACTAGATGGCATAGGTTTAAGGTGAGAGGGGAAAGATTTAGAAGGGATCCAAGGGGCAACATTTTCACACAGAGGTGGTGCATGTATGGAATGAACTGCCAGAGGAAGTGGTAGAGGCTCGTTCAATTACCGCATTTAAAAAAACATCTGTATGGGTATATGAGTAGGAAGGGTTTAGAGGGATACGGATCAAATGCTGGCAAATGGTACGAGATTAATTTAGGATATCTGGTCGGTGTGGACGAGTTGGACCGAAAGGTCTGTTTCCATGCTGTACATCTCTGTGACTCTACGTGGTAGATAAACTTCAGTGCTGGTTCTGTGGCTCCTGGTCACAAAGCAAACTAAAAGTTCTTAACAAGTAAAAACCAAAAGAACTGTAGATGCTGTAAATAAGGAACAAAAACAGAAGTTCCTGGAAAAGCTCAGCAGGTCTGGCAGCATCTGTGAAGAAAAAAAATCAGAGTTAATGTTTTGGGTTCAGTGACCCTTCCTCAGAGTTCTCTGATTTTTTTCTTCACAGACGCTGCCAGACCTGCTGAGCTTTTCCAGCAACTTCTGTTTTTGTAAAAGTTCTTACCCTTGTGTTCAAATTCCTCAATCCTCCCTATTATTGTAAATCCCTCCAGCCTTATCAACTTCCATGAGCTCCGCGTTCCTCCCAATTCTGGCCTCCAACTCATTTGATTTCCCCTGCTCGTGTTGTTGCAGCACTCAACACAACTGTCTCTTCAGTTGCCAGGCTCCAGTTTCGCGAATTTCTTCTCAAAAGCTGACTCTGTACTTGGTTATCCTGCTTCTAGACGCTTGAAAATCCACAAAGCTGTGTTGAATTTTGTTTTAAAATGCTGTGAACCACCTTCTGTCACTTTACTCTGTTCCTATATCAATGCAAATACTTGTCTTTGTGGTGATATCAATGAATCACGAGCATTTTTTAAACATAGAGGCAACTCACGCCAAGAAAGACGTGTTGGTCAACATATTCATGAAGATCTCTCTCCTTCCATGGCTTTGACTGTCAACAACCTTTCACTGCAGGATGGCCATTGTGCCTGCAGGTGGGGGTGCGGAGCGCAGTCGTCGCAAGGAGCGGCCAGCGGGGTGTGTCCCTCTTGCTCAAAGCACGCTCGTTGGCGGTGCTTGCCAGCTCGGGCCTTTGTTATTGGCCAGCTGACGTTACTGCTCCGCCAGGCTGTGGCCCCGGGCGCTGACGGGATAGCATAGCTGGAGCTGGAGGACAGCGGGAAGTCATCCCAGCCGCTGCTGTTGCCCAACGACAAGATGGCTGTCGGGAGTAAGCTGAAGTCAGCAGCGACCAGCACAGCGGCATCCTACACGTATACAGGAGGATAGCCGGGGCTCAGCACTCTTGCTTTCGTACCGCTGGGATACCATTAGACCGATATATGGACAGAAATGGGGTCTCAGACTCTGCAAATCCTGAGACAGGGAGTCTGGGCTTCCATCACTGGCGGGTGGTATTATGATCCTCATCAAAATACATTCGTGAATGCTTTCCATCTCTACATCTGGCTCTTTCTCCTTTGTTTCCCATTTACATTGTATATGGTGAGTATTTGGCTGTGCGTGTTTACTAGCAATCATTTGGGGATGTTTTGAGATTCATCATTGAATTTCCGAAATGTACATGTGTGTTTATGTAGGTTAAACTGTTATTTATATGATAAACATTTAATAACTGTAGCACGATGCAAGGGTTCCCCCCTCTTAAGAAAGCAGGCTGTGCTGGAATAATGTGAGATGTTGGTCAAAAAGAAATCCCAATCTGACATTTGTGGAAATATTGGAATAACGAAAATAGACAAGCTGCATAAGTGATAATTAACTGGAATATGAAACATGATTGTTTTCGTAATTAATACTTTGGAATGAAGATTTAATCATTCACTCTGATTTATCAATATCAAAGATTTCTGGGCTCTGCATTGTTGTAGAGAGGTGATTTAAAATTTTATTTTTTTTTGTTTGACTGGTTTTTATTTTAATTTGTTTTAAATGGGATTGGATTCAACAAAGTTAAGATATAAGTTTTAACAATAATATGTTGGATTTTAAGTTTGTTTAAGCATATTGGTATTTCATTAAGGAACAATTCTGTGAAATGATAGCTGTCATCTTCGCTGCCTCTGTGCTTTAGCAGCTGGTGTTGTTTTTCGTTTTATTGCTTGTAATGTCACCTGATTCATTTCAGTAGGTTGTGCTTCTGGAAAAATAGCATGTAACATGTAAGAATAAACAAACGGAAAAGGCGAGGCATTGTGTATGATCCAAAAGAGACATTTTTTGCTAGGGTTGGAGCGTTACTGATTATTCTTCTGCCAGTGCAAAAATTAGCTCTGGTTTATGATAGCCTTTATATTGTAGAGAGATTCTCTGTACACAGCTCTTGGGGAAATACTTTTATACATATAATCCTGTTTTCGTGTTGCAATAAACTCGTAACAATGGCCTTTAAACCAACCTTCATCTCGGTAGTACCTTTATCGGAGTAAGGTGTTCTGAGGTGCTACTCGGAGACAAAAATTGACACTGAAGCAACAATACATGGGCAATATATCTTTACATGGGTTTTGTTTTTTTTTAAAAAAAAATTAATTTTGCGTGATGGTGGTACCCGTCCATGTACATCTGCTTGTCACATTTTTTTGATTCAGCCTTGAGCTCATTTTGTGCAACAAAACATTCCAAAGTGCCTTGTGGGACAAAAGTAAACACAGAGATGTGAAATACTTCCCAACCATTCAGAATTGATTTGAGTTTTGCAAGGAATTGGGATAAAAACCATAGCGGTATTATTTAATTTTCTTTGAACAAATCTGTTTTATACAATTATTGGAGATCTGAAAGAAGGTTGCTTGACTGGACAGGATGGTGAGCGACTGAGAGTCATGTGATCAAATTTTCAGCCTTTTTATGACCAGATGGTAACCCTATGGAGAAGATCTTGCAAGTTACCAACAAAATATTTTGAAGAGCTCTGAGGAGGAAAGAGTGACCGATAACAACGCATGGTGATTTACAGAGAACGTTGTAGATTGTGTGCCCAAGATTGCAGCTTCAGTATTACAGCTTTCACCATTAAAGGAAAGCGGAGGTGCATAATTGTGGGATTTGAAGGTACAGGCTAGCAGATAAGAATGAAAGTGATTGCAATATTAAAGAAGAGTGCGAGTGTTGATAGTGCAACGGTAGTCGTTGTGAGTTAGTGCATTGGGATTTTGCCATTTTTGAGTTGCAGTTTGTGGATCTAGAGCTCAGGAAATCAGCAAGGAGAGTGGTTCTGTCAGGTCAGTGAAACAGAAAGCAGTGAGGATGAAGTACAAGTAGAGGGATTGATGCTGCAAAAAAAGGGCAGACTTGGCAGTGCTTTCACGTAAATAATATTTTTCAATATCATTTACCAAAAATAACGTGTGTCATCAATAGAAAGGGAAGTATAGATTCTACTTCATTAAAGAACAAAATGCTGTGAAATATAATGGAGTGGTGGACATGATCTGTGTGGACTTCAGTAAGGTGTTTGACAAGGTTCCTCATGGTAGACTGGTTAGCAAGGTTAGAGCACATAGGATGCAGGGAGAACTAGCATTTGGATACAGAACTGGCTCGAAGGTAGAAGACAGAGGGTGGTGGTGGAGTGTTGCTTTTCAGACTGAAGGCCTGTGACCAGCAGTGTGCCACAAGGATCAGTGCTGTGTCTACTGCTTTTTGTCATTTATATAAATGATTTGGATGTGATTATAGGAGGTATGGTTAGTAAGTTTGCGGATGACACCTAAATTGGAGATGTAGTGGATGGTGAAGAAGGTTACCTCCAGAGTACAATAGGATCTTGATCAGAGGGGCCAATGGGCCGAAGAGTGGCAGATGGAGTTTAATTTAGATAATTGAGAGGAAATACATTTTGGAAAGGCAAATTAGGGCAGGACTCATACACTTAATGGTAAGGTCCTGGGGAGTGTTGCTAAACAAGGAGATCTTGGAATGCGGGTTCATAGTTCCTTGAAAGTGGAGTTGCAGGTAGATGGGGTGGTGAAGAAAGCGTTTATTAGTCCGTGCATTGAGTATAGAAGTTGGGAAGTCATGTTGCAGCTGTACAGGACATTGGTTAGCCCACTTTTGGAATACTGTGTGCAATTCTGGTCTCCCTGCTATAGGAAGGATGTTGTGAAACTTGAAAGCGTTCACAAAAGATTTAGGAGGACGTTGCCAGGGTTCGAGGGTTTGAGCTATAGTGAGAGGCTGAATAGGCTGGGGCTATCTGCTCTGGAGTGTCGGAGGCTGAGGGGTGACTTTACAGAAGTTTATAAAATCACGAGAGGCATAGATAATGTAAATGGACAAGGTCTTTTCCTCTGGGTGGGGGGAGTCCAAAACTAGAGGGCATAGGTTTAAGGTGAGAGGGGAAAGATTTAAAAGGTACCTGAGGGACAACCTTTTTCATGCAGAATGTGGTGCATATGTGGAGTAAGCTGGCAGAGGAAGTGGTACAATTACAACATATAAAAAGCATCTGGATGGGTATATGAACAGGAAGGGTTTAGAGAATATGGGCCAAATTTTGGCAAATGGAACTAGATTAATTTAGGATATCTGATTGTCACGGATGAGTTGGACCGAAGAGTTGTTTGTGCTGTATGTCTCTGACTCTATCATGATTGCATTGCAGCAACTTTGTTTTGCACCTCAATATTTGCTTCAGATGAAATGGCAATGATGAGTTGCATTGCTGATAACACATAGATAATATGTAAGTAGTAGCAGTTTGACCTTATGGACAATAGTGGATGCTGAAATTGTGAAGTTTTATAGTTGTATTAGTGAAGCATTGAATCCTTTTCACTCTCCTCTCATTTCTGCAACACGTCCACATGCGCTTCTCTCACTCTCGCGCTCTCACCATAATGCCCCCTCCCCCAAGTATTCTTTCTGCAAGTGCACATATTTTTAACCTCTCAGTCATATTATAAATGCTCTCTGGCCTAAATTGGTTCTACGTTTACGATAAATGTTTGGAGGATGATAAGTGACAGGAGAGGAAGAATCTAGTAGTGTATTGGTTCTCTTCTAAAGGAATAATCTTCAATGCCTTGTTGCAACTACTGGTTGTCTGAATGAGAAATGATCCACTTCCATTACCAGAATCCATCCCAAATTAATGAGTGTAAATCCAACAGAATGGAAAAAGATGAATTAGAAGGCTAATGCTGCACCTTAAATTCCAGTCAATCTGATGTGGTTGTATTTTCAAAGTGTTAGAACAAGAAAAAGTGTAATCATATCAACACTAGCTGAATACTAGCAAAGCACAGATGGACCTAAAGAAGGAGCATGCATTACACTTTAAGATAATTGACTTGATGAAGGCATCAAACATGTCACAACTTTTGTCTATATTTGAGAGAGCTGTCTACACAACTATATAGGTAATTGTATATTGTGTATCTGACAACGCACAGATAAATTTGCTCTGGTTATAACCTAGCTATATAAGAAGAGAATAGAACCTGTGAACATTGATTTTCATCAGTGCCAGTGACACATCTCATTTACTGAAAGATGTCAGGATTCCATCATTCTATAAAACATTTCCTTTTATTATATAGTGTCCATATCTAATGTTGAGAGAAATGCCATCGGTAGTAATTCATGGAAGCTTCTTAAATTCTTATGAATATCAAAGTTTTGAAATAATTGGTAATTATTTTCAGTTAGCATTTAGCAAGTTTAGCAGAATTGTGACATTGATTCTGTTTGAAATATTTATATTAAATGGTATTTTTCTCTTTTCATTTAAAAAATGAAACGGGGATGTTTTAAGAGAATATTTTGTTGTATAATAGTATCTCATTGTGTATTTGAGAATTCCACTTCTCAGATGTTCCATACTGAATGCTAGAATGATACTGAGCTGTGTACGTGATGTCTGGCCTCTGGTCTTTTTTGTCTTTAAGGGCACTACAGTTAACCTTAAATTTGAAGGGTGTGATTGGGGGAATGTGGTGTGGAATGATGCTAGAGTGATGTCAAGGTTAGTGAAAGTTGAATTGTCTGGTTTCCCTAACCCGACTTGCTATTGAGCAACAATCGCTCCTGCTGGGAAGTGAGAAAATGTTTGGTTGAAGTTGGATTGGGGTTGGCTGTGTTTCTGAAGCTCATGATTCTGGCTCATTCATGAATAATAGGCATTAAAATGAGAGGGCTACAGGTGCCTTGTTCCAGCAATAGTTGCTATCTTTAGCAGTGAGGAAACAGGGCGGGTTGAAGCATTCAGAGCCATCGATTACTTAAAAATACCTACTGGATCTTGATTTGTGTCAGCTTGGACTAAATTTTTGCTTCAATTCTTGTCAGTCTTCATAAAGTTAGAAGTGGAGTAAATGCATGTCTGATGCTGAACAAGGAAATATTGTTGACCCTGCAATGCCCTGCTTGAGGGAACATTTCTGTGTAGCGTTTGGTTTAATCAAAAACACTTTTCCCGTCACAACAGTAGAATGTTTTCCAGCTTCCTTTGAATTTTTCCCCGATTCCTTCCAACTCTGTTT